TGGTGGATATTTTTCTGTTTGTGCAGAATGCTGTTTTGATGTTGTGTTTTTGGAGGATCTTGCTAATTTTGTCTGTAGTGCCTTTTATATATGGGAGGAGGGCTTTGCCGTTTTCTTGTTCTCTGTCTTGGATTTTGGTTGGGGTTTCTTTTTGGATTAGGTGGGTAATCTTCTTTCTTTGGAATCCATTGGCTGCAAGTACGTTGGTGAGAGTGTGTAGTTCGGTTTTTTGGTGTTGTTCATCGGCTAAGCATTTTGTTCTGGAGATGAGTGTCTTGGCTACGGAATTGATCTGTGCTGGGTGGTGGTGTGAGAGTGCATGTAGATAGCGGTTAGTATGTGTTTTCTTCTGGTAGATGGTGTGTCCTAGGGAGCCATTGGATCTTTTGTATACCAAGACATCTAGGAAGGGAAGTTGGTTGTTGGCTTCTGTTTCCATGGTGAATTGTATTTTGGGGTGTAGGCTGTTGAGGTGTGTGAGGAAGTTGTTCAGTTTTTCTTTCCCATGTGGCCAGATTATGAAGGTGTCATCTACGTATCTGAGCCAGAGTTTGGGTTTGTGGTCGTATTTTTCTAGAGCTTGTGTTTCAAAGTGTTCCATGTAGAGGTTAGCGATGACAGGTGAGAGGGGTGATCCCATGGGTGCTCCTTCTATTTGTTTGTATTTTTGTCCATTGTAGGTGAAGTATGTATTGGATAGGCAGTGGTTGGTTAGATCTAGGATGTGCTTGGGGGGGTTGGATTTGTTTTGGATGGCTGTCAAGGCTTCTTTTATTGGCACTTGGGTGAAGAGGGATATGACATCGAAGCTTACTAGTAGGTCGCTAGGTTGTAAGTTTTGTTTCTTTATGATCTCGATGAATTGGAATGAGTTTCTTACGTGTGAGTTGATGGATTCTGCATAAGGTTGTAGTTGTTTGGCGAGAAATTTGGCTAGGTTTTGTAGAGGTGAGCCTATGGAGCTGACTATTGGTCTGAGTGGGGTTCCTTCTTTGTGTATTTTGGGGAGACCATAAAGCTTGGGGCATCTGGATGATTTTTCTCTGGGTATGATTCGTTGCTGGATTTCTTCACTGATGGGGGAGGCTTTTATTTTGGATTTGGTAGTTTTTTCTAGGTAGGTGGTGGGGTCTGTCTTTAGGGGTTTGTATGCGGGGTCTTGGAGTAGGTTGGTTAACTTGGTTTGGTAGTCAGATGTGTTCATAACCACTGTCGCATTGCCCTTGTCTGCTGGTAGAATTATTATGCTGGTGTCTTCTTTCAGGTTAAGTAGTGCAGTTCGTTCTTCTTTGGATAAGTTGCTTTTGGGTGGTTTGCTAGTGCAGAGGATGTTGGTGATTTCAAGTCTGATTTTGTTAGCATCATCAGGGTTGGTTTTGGTCAGGCTGGTTTCAACTCCGCATATGATGGTTTCTGTGGGGATGTGTTTGGGAGCGACAGCAAAGTTGAATCCTTTTGAAAGGACCTTGGTTTCAGCTTCAGTGAGGATCTTGTCTGAGATGTTGTGCACTGTTTGTTTCATGTGTGGCTGTGTGGGGGGAGGAGTTGGTTTCTGGCGTTGTTGTAGTTTCCTGAGTTTGTTGGTGTGTGTGTCTGTCTTGAGGGTGGTCTGTGTTTCGGCTCTCCAGACAGCGAGTTGTTTGGATTTGTCCCAAAGTAGAGGGTGAATCTTGTTGCTGAGTCTGAGGTGGAGTGTGAGGAGATCTTTGTTGATTTGGTCTAGGAGAAACCTTTTTGTGTGAAGTTCATTTCTAATTAGGGCCAGTTCTGTTCTTTTTAGGATGCGTTTGGTGGCTGCTGTGTTGGTGTGGAATTTCAATTGGAAGCTTGTGGGAATTAAATTTTGATCTCGGCAGTTGCATAGGAATGCAAGGTCACATAAAATGGAGGCTCTTTGGACTTCAAGTTTTTCATAAGTCCTGGTCAGATGGTGGGTTTCCTCCCCGTAGAGGTGCAATATTTGTTTTCTGAGGTTCTCGCGGGTATTTGTATGTGGATCTTTGGTTGTTCGGGTTTTCTCCCGCGTAAGATTCGAAGTATCTAGGCAACGTTTCGATGAAGTCTCATTCATCATCTTCAGGCTTCTGTCTCCGGCTCTGTGCTTCTCAGAGTAATGTGAGATTGCAGCTGCTTCCTCCTTTTAACTGCCAGTGGGGGTGGGACTTGATTGGGTGGGGGTTTGGCTGTGTTCTGATTGGTTGGGGGGTTAGCCGTGTTCTGCCTAGATACTTTGAATCTTACGCGGGAGAAAACCCGAACAACCAAAGATCCACATACAAATACCCGCGAGAACCTCAGAAAACAAATATATATATATATATTTTCAGACATCTATTTAAAGAACTAAAAGTCCAAGTTAAATGTATCTTATGAGGCTGTTGTGGCTGAGCTATCACAGATACTACTGATCACACGTCCCCAAACCAGAATCATCATAGAAACAGCATTAAAATACACATGAAGTATAAAATGAGCCAAAACTCAAAACAACCAACAAAAAATTATTAATTTAGCATGTAACACGAAGTATTTATGCACACTGCCACACATCCACTAATATTTGTTCTTTGTTTTTCAGCGTATATTAAAGTTTTCTTTTGTAGTAAACATAAAGTGTCGGCTCTTGGTGACTATGTTAATATATCTGTGTAGTTTTCTTGGCAAGAATATGAAAATGGTTTATAATTTCCCCGCCCTAGAATTTCCTAATGATTCTCCATCAAAGTCATTGTTCTTGACTTACAAATGGTGGTTTTATGACCATTTGGACATGAAATAGCCTTGAAACAGGTGCTTTAGGACTTGTAAAACACTCTGGACATCGCAAAATGTCACCATCTGCCCCCACCTTAGTCATGTAGCCACATTTGGGGCACTTGGCAACTGGCTCACTTTTTATCACTGGTTTCAGCATCCCTCAATCATGGGACATTTTTTACTGGTTTCCAGGGTTTTGTTGGTCTCCAGCAAAAAAAAAACATCCACCCATTCAAAACAATGGGCTCATTTAATGATCGTGTTGTTTGCTTAATAACTGTGTGATTTACTTAATGACCACAGTGATCCACTTAATGGTTGCTGCAAAAAATTATAAAACAAAATTGGTCCAGTCATATGGATGCCTCAACTTATACTCACAAAGATTTTATAACCAGATTTCCAGTCCCAGTTGTGGTCATAAGTCAAAGGCTACCCATAACTCGGTCAAATCCTTTATAATTGTTTTCAAAATCAGGCAAGGTTATTAGGCGCTGGCGCCTTGAATGTTTACTTTAAGTTAGAGAATAATGCAGTAAGGCAAGCGAAAAAGGTCAATGGAACTTCTTGATAAATATCTCATGCTTGAAAATATTTGATTGTGTTTGTCTAATGTTACAGATAATACCACAGAAATATTTCTGAACCAGTTTCTTAAGTGTTAGATCTAAAACAGATTTTCAAGTCCAACTGCGAAACAAAATGTTAAAGGCAATTTTAGGAAATCATTTCCCAACTTTATTTATTTAGCTATATCCCACCTTTGTTGTAAGATTCCTCGATTTTTGACCATAATTGGGATTTATTTTTTATTTGTCAATCGCTTACAAGATAATAGTACAAGTATAAACACAAGTAAGAATATAGGAAATAGGTACGAATAAATGGGGACAATAGGACAGGGACAGTAGGCACGATGGTGCACTTATGCAAGCCCCTTACAGACCTCTTAGGAATGGGGTGAGGTCAATGAGAATTTCCATTACTAAGCAGGGTGGTTATGTGAATAGCACCTGATTTTACAATCTTTTTTGCTGCAGTTGTTTAGTGAATCACTGCTTATTTTGTTTATGAAATGCATAGCCGTTAGCAATTCTAGCTTCCTCCATTGATGTTGCTTGTTGGAAGCCAGCTGGGAAGTTTGCAAATGGCAATAGATGCTGCAACCATCATAAATACATGCTGGTTGCAAAGTGCCCGAATTCTGATTATGTGACTATGGAGATGTTGGCATGGTCATAAGTGTGAAGACCAGTCATAAATCGCTTTTTTCAGTGCCATTGTAACTTTGAATGGTCAATAAATGAATAGTTGTAAGTCAAGGATCAGCTGTATTCAATACAGTAATGCATAACTTGTATTCCAAATTGGAACTATTTTGTTTATAAAGGCAAATTTGGAGCATAGGAACTTTTTTTTAGAATAGAATAGAATAGAATAGAATAGAATAGAATAGAATAGGAATTCTTTATTGGCCAGGTATGGTTGGACACACAAGGAATGTGTCTTGGTGCAAATACTCTCAGTATACATAAAAGAAAAGGTACATTCCTCAAGAGTCAAGAATCATAAGGTACAACACTTAATGATAGTTATAGGGTACAATAAGCAATCATATCATACTAGGAAACAGTCCATATAAATCGTAAGGATACAAGCAACAAAGTTAGTGGGAGGAGATGGGTGATAGGGAGTGATGAGAAGATTAACAATAGTAGGGCAGACTTTGTAATAGTTGAACAGTGTTGAGGGAATTATATAGCAGAATGATGGCTTTCGGGAAAAAACTGTCCTTTTGTCTAGTTGTTTTGGTGTGCGGTGCTCTATAGCGTCGTTTTAAGGGTAGGAGTTGAAACAGTTTATGTCCAGGATGTGAGGGGTCTGTAAATATTACAGGGGTCTGTAAAAACTTGTACTGCTTCTTTATCCTTGATAAAAAAAATTCCAAGAATAACATTAATAATAGTAAACATTTAAGTGGTTAATATATTCTTATCTTGAATTGAATTAGATACACCAAACTGTTAAGTAATCTGGGAACAAATAAGGAATGTTATATTTTTGAAACTAGGATGAAGTAACCTTGATCTCCAGAGACAACCTAAACTGCTGGTTCCTGAACTCAGAAATATTTGATTACATAAAGATGGGTATGATAATTCAATTCAACAATTGCAATATTCATATTCAAGTTAAATAGTCAGAAAGGGCAAGAAGCGAGGAAGTCACCTGAAATATCTGCAGGATGTTATGCTTCTCCACATATTGAAGAGAAATCTCAAAAGGATCTAGATAAACTGTTGACATTGGCTCATTCTCAAGAAGTTCCTCAGCAACTTGAGCTGGTGGAGCAGTCTGTTGTACCACTTCTTGAGGTGCTGTTTCTGGAACCCGCACAATGCTTTCCACTGATCTGGTCAAAGCACTTGAAAAATCACTTTGTTTCTGAGTCACCAAAGATCCAAGAGTTTGGAAAGATGAAGTAGACCGAATCTCAATTTGTGGCACAGAAGGTTTTGGACTTGGCTCAGAAGCTTCTGGTGCTTGATCTATAGATAACACTACTTCAAGTAGTTGGGCACTAGTCCTAGATGTTTCTGTTGTAGGCACTAGCAATGTAGGCTGTTTCTGCATTTCAGTAATTAGAGCTTTTTCAGGCTGTTCCTACAGTATATGCAAATCAGAAAAAAGTTAGAATCGGTTAAGAATCAGAAATAATCATGCATTTTTCTTATATATGATTTTATCACAGTTACAATATAGACATGCCCGTCATACTATTCTCTTTCAGAGGAAGCAGCATTCTGCAAAAACAGAAAAGGAGTAAAACTAGAAGGGAAAAAAAGTGAAGTAAGAAAAAAAGAAAATATATCTACTTTACACCAATGGCATTTATAGGACTTTTCCATAACTTTTTATACGGCAATTTGTCTTTACTTCGTCTTTATTCATATGCCCCTTTATTCATTGTCTGTGTTAACACTCACCATCTCTTCCTTTTTCAGCATCTTTCATTAATTCCATCCATGGACTCCCCTTTGTCTAGAACCACTAATTATTCTCTCATACATCATTCATTTTTGTACTCAATCCGCATTCGTTCAATAACCATTTATTCTTGAACAAAAAAACTCTGTGGAACTTCTGATTCTTGATATTTTCTGTAAGTCAGGGTTTTGCTAGGGTTCAGCTGAAGCCTGTTGTTCCTATACAAAACTATAGCAAACCATTGTTCAGGTTTATTTATTTTTTGTAATTCCTGAATCTCTAATGTGTCACCTTCTTCTAATGGCTGAGCTCACATATCACATAAACAACAACAACAAAACAATAGTACATCTAATACATAAGAATCTAGGCTACTAAGGCAACTTTAGTTTGCATAAAGGCTACATTCTTATATGAGCAGCCAAACTCATGCCAACAGTGGCTTAGTGCAATGCATAACCCAGTCACTTCTCAGATCAGAAAAAATATGGATCTGTCTAAGAAGCAGGAAGTGGATCTCCAACTCAATTTCGGATTATGTATATTACATTGTCTTGGTTAATCTAAGTAATTGATCAACTTTGCCTAGCAGCTTGGCTATATATTTCGCATTTATCTTTTATACTTCATAATTTTCTCTTTGCTTTGCCTTTGGGGAATTTTGAGTATGCCTTTAAAAAACAGTACTTCTATCATGCATTCTAATATTTAATTAAGTATAGTAGCTTTCCTTTTACCTTCTCTCTAGTAGACTCTTTAATAAAATATTTAATTAGTTCATTAATTAAAAGTTTAAAGCCCATTCTTCCAAAATATGTGCATCACTCAGGGTAGATAACAACCAATATATGCAATCACAATTGGAACTAGAACCTTGATTGTTGAGCAAAGCTGTTGTTAAGTGAGGCACCCTTATGACTGCTTCACTCAACAAACATAATCCCAGTTGTTCCAAATGTGGCAGTTAAGCCACAATGCAGGTTGTTAAGCAGACGGAACAAAAGACCTGCCTCCTGAAGAAGGGCAGGCAGCTCCATCCTGTGCATAGAAAGGAACTCCTGCAGCAGACTGCAGAACCTAAGTATGCATCTTCAGGATCCAAGTTTCATTCCTGCAGCCCACCGGAGGATTTCCCCTCCCCTCTGTAGGCAGAAGGGAACCTCTGTAGCAGGTTGCAGGAAAAAAAATGGATCCTGAAGTTCCGAGATTCGTTTCTGAAGCCTGCAGCTGCAGGAGTTTTTATATCCCCTCCATGTACAGAAGAGAATTGCTCTGGCAGGCAGTAAGAAGATGAGGATCTTCAGGATCTGACCTTCATTTTTCCGTCTTGCCAGTGGAGTTGGGCTCCCCTAAGTGCATGAAGGGGAAACACCTTTGAAGACTGCAGAAATAGGACTCAAATCTTCTGGCTTTGACCTCCATTTCTGCAGCCCTTTAAAAGAGATTTCCTTCCCTCCATTTTCCTTTGAGGAGTTACAGAAATGGAGGCCAGACTTTCTGAGGTCTGACCTCCATTTCTCAAGTTGTTTAAACTTTTTGGAAGGACAGCAGAAATGCCTACATTTCTCTCCAATGGCTAAGATTCTCTCCCAGCAGGCAGCCCTTTCATTCTCAAAGAGCTAGCTGCCTGCCAGAAGGAAATCTCAGTTCTGCAGCAACAGTTTGCAAATCGATTGATTTTATGGGGAAGCTGGCAGAGAAGCTGGCAACTGGAGATCACAGTCACAGGGCACTTGCCAACTGGGTGGTAAGCATGAACCAATTGCCAAGGACCCAGATCATGATCAGGTGACTGGGGTGGGTGAGCTGTGAAGCATCCTTTCCAAGACCATCCTCAAGGACTTCCTATACAGAATCAAATCATTCGAAAGAGAAACAAGAATGTCACTTAAAAAACAAATATCTAATCAGCATTATCTAATAAGAGCAGGCAAAGAAGCTTTTCAAGTAAACCGAATACTTTGCCAAAGAGAAAAATCTTGAAAGGTTAATGAAAGACCCCAAGGGAAACCGTTAGATTGACCAAGAAAGTTTCATGGTCAATCTTTTTGCCGTGTTCCATCACAGTTGGGACATAGTTGAGTCTATAATAAGCACAACAATTCTGTTATAAGGATAGATTTGTTTTAAATATGAAAGTTTATATATATTAAAATTGTCATGGTTAGTTTTAACAATCTTAAGGCTGCAATGTCTGTCAAACAGCTTAATTAATTTAAAACATACTAATAGAGCATTCCTAATTAACCTCAACTCTTAACAGTTGGATATGGACATCCTGATCTAGGAAAAAAATGCTCTGAAAATACAAAATTGACCTCATTTTTATTTATAATAATGGGAGAAAAAGCATGTTGCATAAATTTGGATTACTTATCAGAGACAATTTAAATTCTATTTTACTTGATTGTTTTTTTTTTCTGAAAATTTACTATGTTACTACATTTCAACAGTTCATTTTGTGTATTTATTATTACAAATATACAATACTCAAAAACATCCTATCAGCCCTCATCTGTACTAGGAAGCTATAGAGGTCTGAGCCTGGTTAGTATTTGAATAGAAGATACCAGACCTGTAGGTGGTCTGGGAAATCCAAGGAAAGCCTATTCTGTAATGTTGCTAACAAAAAAGGTGAATATCTTGTAAAAATTGGATGTTGTTCAAGGGGTTTTTATTTTATTTACATGTACTAATTTGGTTAGGTTTCATACCACCTCACCCTGGATCTCCAGAACTCAGGACTACAATCTTACGTGTCCTTTATGTTTACTTTGAAGTGAAGAATTCACTTCAAAGTAAATATAAATTGGATTATTCCACTTTGGGGGGATGGCAACAGGTGCAACTTGGCAAAGAAAGTGATTATAAATGCAATGGAGATGTAAGCATTGTTGTGTTTCACTTATCATCCAGAATACAACTATGATAAGATAAATCATAAGAGTAAATTGTCTATTAATCAAAACTACTCAGGCAGTGCCAAGGAAATGTAAGAGTTGAACTTCCAAACTTTGGTCGGGAAAAGCTGCAACAAATACCAGTATTTAAAGTGTTCTCTTCAATTTCATGGCAGTTGCCTTTTTTACATTGCAATCCTCCCCTTTGTTGCAGTGCCCCTTGCTCCTGGGTAACAAAGTTAGGCTTCCTCTCTAATAAAGTTTCTAGACCATAGCAACTTCTCTTAAATGCCCTTTAAATTACAGCGCAGCCATCCTAGGCTCTTCTTGCCTGAGACTACTAGGTGTGAAAATTTCTGGAGCGCGTCAATTTAAACTAATGTTTCTTAATCTCGAGAGCTTTAAATGGGTGGACTTCAAGTCCCAGAATTCCTCCAGCCGGCATGCTATCTGGGGGGAACCTGGGAGTTGAAGTCCACTCATCTCTTAAGGCTCCCGAGACACACTTTTAAGCGAAGACTGCTTTGTACGAGATTTAGAAGCGGGTCCCTTCCCAAATCGGGCAACTCTTGTTTGGGCGTTGGATGGCTTTGGAGGGTCTCGGGGATCTGCGAATCTGTTATATTTGCATACGTAAAGATGGGGAAGGTTCTTAGGCTGAAGGATAGCTACGAGACTCACGCCCGTCTCCCCCACCTCTTGACTTATTTCAGCGCTCCCTCACCTGTTTTTCCACCGACCCCGTCCTCGGCGTCGGCACCGGCTCGGCCTGCGACTCTGGCTCTGGCTCTGGTTCTGGTTCTGGTTCTGCCATCTTGGGGCAAAGGCGCGTTTCATCTCCCACCTGCCCGGTAAGGTCTTTTACTGCTTGGGATGTTCCGTAAAGTTGTGAGTTCTATTCCACCTGAAGGGGGAGAATCGGTGAGAAGACATCGTAGTTGCTATGGAAACTATTCCTAAGCACGCCTTCCTGAATCTTATGGTAAGTCCACGTAAGCAACAGAAAGTGATCTCCTAGGAAAGAGATAGAACTTGCTGCAAGTCACCTGATTGGTAACCGGGCATTTGTCCCTGGGGTAGACATTTTTCTAGAGGGCAAAAGTGCTCTCATATATTCTCGGCCTGCTTTGAATATGGGGATTTTCTGTTAAAAACGTGCCTTTTCCTACCAGAGTTGCTCAATATGGGAACACAATAAAATATAGTTTTGAAGAGAAGTTGTGGAATGAATATTCAACCAAAAGTTCATTGAGTTCAATGAAACTTCTAATGTTTTAAGGGGAGAATAACCAAGTGTTTGCTCTTTGGAAGTCCTGATGAAGTAGAATATATTTAACATAACTGACACAAGATTGTGATCTTAGTTTTTAAAAAAAATCACTGGCAAAAAATGGACTCTTTCCTGGTTATTAAATATCCATTATCTACCACCTTTCAAAATGGTGTATCTCTGATCTTACAGGGGATATAGAATTGGTAACATGAAATGATGATATTATAATAAAACCATACAGATCTTTATTTCCCACCAGGAATTCTTAGATTTAGTAGCTAACAAAGCACAGCAGGAGAAAAGTTGTTATTCCAGGATAGTCAAAAAGCAGAAGGAATCTTTATTTTTTTATTTTTGTCAATTGCTTACAAGATAATAGGTATAAGTAAAAACATAGTTATGAATACATGGATACATATAAGAAAAATAAAAAAAATAAAAGAAACAATAGGACAGGGACGGTAGGCAAGGTGGTGCATTTATGCACCCCCCACCCAGACCTCTTAGGATATAATCTGGTATTTTTTTGAGCACAAGTTTTATACAAAGCTTTCATGAACTGCAGCTCCCTTTATCTGAGAATGACTAAAGTCATGTAGGATTTAAATTGGAATGAAGTAGAGAGGGAGAGTTAATACAATTATTATTTGGGAAAGGTGCTGCCCTACACCTAATTTTTAGTTACAGAAGGAAAACTCATAAATACATACCTGTGAACTCAAAGCATGAAGGAAGAGAAAATTCAGGCGATATAAATATCCTATAGTGTTAGCGTTGGTTGTTTTTAAAGCAGCAGGTGACATAGGGATAAATGGATGGTCGAGATGGTAGTATATTTGTATGGAAATACCATGTCAAATAATAGTTTTTGCTATTACTTAATAACACAGTTCTTGCTTCTCAAAAAAACTCATACGAACTCATCAGAAAGTCCAAAATATTAGTATTTTAACTGGAAACAGTTCTGAGTTTAAAATTTCTTGAAGTAACGTAAATAATAATTCAGGGTATAGCAACAGAGAAAAGTGTTCTCATTCAGTCCGTTAAGTAAATGAGTTGCCTTGCACATTCCAGAAATAAACCTTAATAAAAACCTAGCCACTGAGAACTTGGTATGTGTTACTGAACAGTATAAATATGCATTTGATTGTATGTGTTTTTTTTAAACCAACTGTACTCACTAATGTGTGTGTGTGAATGAATGACCCATGCACTCACTCTCTCTCTCTCTCTCAGGCTAAAAGTAAGTAACATTTTTAATCTAGTGATCTCTCGTGTTTCACTACTGACTAGTTTCCTTAATAATTTTCCAATACCTCTCATCTTTATCTCATGCAGAACAATATTTAGTGAATTAACTTCGCTGGCTGACTCAGTTATTGTTTTCTGTTGTGGAAAAGACCATTAGGTTAATCCCTTATACTTTTCACCTTCAGTCTTTGCAGTAAGGTTTTGCTGTATTCAAGAATGGACATCATTTTTACCTTACTAACATCCTTTTCTATTGAGAATATTTTTTTCTATCTGAAATTTGCCATGGATATTGATCACAATAATAAAAATATACTTGCTGCACATTTTATCATATATCACAAAAGCAAAATACTCTTATTGGTATTTTAATAAACTAAATTATTAAAACAGTGTAATTAAAACCTCTCTGTATTGATTTCTAGGGCTGTACAGTATAACGTTTTTTGATTTGGTTTCAAAAAGATGCTTCAGAGTATAAGGAGGCACAGACATAGGACCTATTTTGGGCACACCCAAAGTTTAATGATGCAGCACAATGTATGTCAGCATAAATTTGATCTGTCTCATAGCCAATTTTAACTGCTTTGTTGATGAGGCCAGTGTGTAGCATTGTTCTAATAGTAAAAAACATCCACCAATCATCTCTAATGTGAAACTGGGGTTGAGAAAAAGGCAAATTCACACATGGCTAGAATAGTGGGTTTAGCCATTTGTCAGAACCTGAATTGAGTGTGTCTCAGTAAAGCAGAAAGGGTTCTCCTCTCCTGGTTTACTGGAAAGACTCTACCTGCTCCCATGATCACTTGCAGTACCTGATTCATGAGGTGGAAAGACAGGCAGTAAACCCATTCCATGTCTGTGATTTTATAGTGCAGATAGAAATAGACAGACAGACAGACAGCTATAGATAGAGATTATTGGCTAGTACAAAACAAGAAAAAAATATGGACAACCTCAGAAGCAACATAAAATCAAGCAAGGCCATCTAACAGGAGGTCAACTTTTTTTTTTTTGAAAACAGTTTTATTGGTTTTTTTAACAAACAGACAAAAACAGACAAAACATAAAAGCATCAGCTCTCTTCCATACTTATATACAAACAGTGTGTCGGTTGGTTCATCAGTTTTGTGCATCCATTTCGTAGTCTCAATTACGGTTATGTTACATAATAACTCTTATTTTCAGTCCTAACTTATATATCCTCATATCATTGTTAAAAAAAAAATCATTTGACTATACTTTTATTCATTCGTACTTTATGAGATAACTATAATTTAAGTAATTTATTCTATAACAAATCATATAATCATGCCAATTCTATCCTAAAAAAAACACTTTATAGATATAGTATCTAATAACAAAAGAAAAAGAAAAAGCAAGGATATTCCTTATTATCTAAAATTCTAGGTATTCTATTGTCGTATTTCATCATCTAACCATTGATAGAAAAGGTCCCAAATTTTATAAAATTGTTTATCTTCTTGCTCTCTAATTTCAAATGTCAATCTACTCATCTCAGCACATTCCAATATTTTCTTAATAATTTCTTCCTGCAATGGAATTTTCTCATTTTTCCAATTTTTAGCAAATACAATTCTAGCCGCAGTTAATACATTTACAATCAGATATTTCAAATCTTTACTATATACATCTGGTAGGATTCCCAATAAAAAAAGCTCCGGTTTCAAATCTATGTGTTTCTTTCTCATTTTTTCCAACCACATGCGGATTTTAGTCCAGTATTTTCTGGCATCCTCACAAGTCCACCACATATGGTAATATGAGTCAGGTATCTGATGACATTTCCAACATTTTTCAGATTTATTCTTAAACATTCTTGCTATCCTTGTCGGGGGGAAATGCCACCTGTAAAACATCTTATACAAGGTTTCTTTATAAGCTGTAGACATTGTCATTTTATAATTTTGCGACCATAGTTTCTGCCATTTCTCTAGATCAATCCCATATCCAAAATTCCTCCCCCAAGCAATCATAGTTTCTTTAACTTGTTCTTCCTCTAGCTTAATTTCCAATAAATAACCATATAATTTTTTAATCACCTTTTCATCAGTACCCATCAAAATCTTATCTAAATCAGTCTGTTTATCATAAAATCCCTCTGTTTTGGAATCCTCATAATACCTTGAGTGTATTTGCACATATGAAAACCAATTCATCTTTATACCTTGTTCCTCTAGATTTTGTATCGATTTAAGTTCACCCTTTTCATCTAATAATTCCCCATATCTAACTGTTTGTTCCTTCTTGTAAATTATAGGATAAGAAAATGCTTCTATTGTCGATAACCAAACTGGAATTTTCAAATAACATTGTTTTTTTATCTTCTCCCAATTTAACCACAAAGACTCCCGTATATAATGTCTTCGAAAATAGCCGTGTCTTAGTTCCCTTGTACCATAAAAAAGCATGCCAACCCAACAACAGATCATGACCTTCTAATGTCAACAATCTAGTCTTCCTTAATGTTATCCATTCCTTAACCCACATCAAATTTGCAGCTTGGTAGTACAGCTCCCAATTAGGCAGGCCAAAATCTCCTCTAATTCTAGCATCTTGCAAGAGTTTTAGCTTTATCCTCGCTTTCTTGCCTTGCCATATATACTTCAACACAATTTTATTTAAATCCTCAAAATAATCTTTCCCGAGCCTAATTGGTATTGTTTGAAACAAAAATAAGATTCTGGGTAAAATATTCATCTTGATTGTTGAAATCCTCCCTATTAATGACAGTTGTAAATTTTCCCATTTCTTCAAATCTAAGGCTATCTGTTGTTTAAGTTTAATATAATTGTTCTCTTTTAATGTACTACATCTTGATGTCAAATATATCCCCAAATACTTAACCTTATTCGTAACTTGAATTTTCAACAAATCTGCCAGTTCTTCTCTTTGTCTTAGTAGCATATTCTTTGACAAAATCTTTGTTTTATCTTTATTTATTTTCAAACCAGCCACTTCACCATATGTCTCTATCTTTTCCAATAGCTTCGAAGCCATTTCTACAGGGTCTTCCAAAATAAAGACTAAATCGTCCGCGAAGGCTTGTAATTTAAATTCTTCCTTTTTAATTTTCATTCCTTTTATAGTTTTATCTTCTCTAATGTTTCTATTCAACACTTCCAGAGTCAATACAAATAGCAAAGGAGAAAGGGGACATCCTTGTCTTGTGCCTTTTCTTATGTTAATAGAATCTGTAAATTCTCCCTCCATCATTACCTTTGCTGTTTGTTCATGGTAAATTGCTTCTATTGCCTGAATAAATCTTC